TATTAAAATCTTTGCAACGTGACTGTGTCAGGGTTCCCAAGACCACTTCCAGTTCAGTGATTCACTGGGAAGACTCAAAGGACCAGCATTTGGTTGTATTCATGGCTATTTGTTATAGCAAAAGGACACAAAGCAACATCAGCAAAGGAAAAAGGCACATGGAGCAAAGTCCGGGGAAGACCAGCAGTGAGCTTCCAAGGGCCTTTTCCCAGCGGAATCTCATAGGTCAGACTTAATTCCCCAACAGCTGTGACAACACCTGTGAAATGCTATCTGTCAGGGATGCTCATTAGTGACTCAGTGCCTGGGGTTTTTACTGGGCTGGCCACATAGGCACCTGCCAGGCATTTACCCCAATTCCTCCCAGAAGGCAAGCAGATATTCAACATAAATATTACTGTCTGGCCAAACAGTTCAGGCCCAGAGACATTATGGTGGAAACCCTACTCAAATCTAAATCCCCAGAGCTAGCCAAGGGTCAACCTTACAAAGAGGTCTGTCTAACTAAGGACAGCTGTCTCAGGCCCGCTGTGATACCTCATTTTGTACACTGTCCTATTTCAATTCTCTATATCATATAGGACCAAACTACAGGAGAAAAGGACTTTCTCCAGCAGGTCACCTAGGTACATCATGAGCCTGAGAAGCATTTTTATCCTGTGTTTTCAGAACTTAAAATGGAGCATTTTTAACATGAACAAGCATTATTTTAAATTACATAATAGAAGATTTAAGATGGCCTTTAGTAGTCCACTTGTACAATAAAAACAGCCAAATTCTATGCATTTTCTTCTTTAAAAAAAGAAGCACCACTGAAAACTCTAACAAATAATATTCCTATATTGAAACTCCTGAGACACCATTTAACTTACCAGACTGGCAAAGAGCCAGACCCTGGACCGTTCCTCTCACACATTCCTAGCAGTGCTGAGAATAAGAAAAACCCCCTCTGGGAGGCAATTTGATAATATCTATCAAAAGTATACACAAACCTTATGACTTGTGATTCTACTTTGAAAATTTACACAGATATCATTGCATACATGCCGAATAACCTATGTGCAAAGTGATTTACTGCAGCATTGTTTAAGAGCAAAGATTGGCCACAGCCCAAACGCCTATCAATAGGTCACTATTTAAATTGTGGTACATCCATACAATGGACTACTCTGTAACTGTGGAGAAAAACAAAAAAAAAAGAATGAGGAAGCTCTCTTCGTACTAACGTGATGAATGCTCCTACATACACTAGAAGACATATATTGCAGAGAGGTATAGTTTGTTATCTTTTACTTTATGAAGGGAGCCAAGATGAATTCATAGTCACATTTGCTTGTCTGTGCATGGAGAAACAGGCAGGATGCATTAGACACTGGCAATGGAAGCTGGGAGGGGATGGTAGAGGCAGAATTTGGGCAGAATCTGCAAACCTGAAAAAAATGTATTGAAATAGTATCCTTGAGACGTAATTCCTCTTTCTTTCCTAAGCTCAACCTGGCATCTTTTCATTTGTTGTTTTAATAGGCTTCTATATTTTTGCAATGATTAATCTAGAGCAGTGGTTCTCAACCTTCCTAATGCCGCGACTCTTTAATACAGTTCCTCATGTTGTGGTGACCCCCAACCATAAAATTATTTTCGTTGCTACTTCATAACTGTAATTTTGCTACTGTTATGAATCGTCATGTAAATATCTGATATGCAGGATGTATTTTCGTTGTTACAAATTGAACATAATTAAAGCATAGTGATTCATCACAAAAACAATATGTAATTATATATGTGTTTTCCAGTGGTCTTAGGCGACCCCTGTGAAAGGGTCGTTCCACCCCCAAAGGGGTTGCGACCTACAGGTTGGCGACCCACAGGTTGAGAACCGCTGATCTAGAGCATAAGGTTGCATTTATCTTGTTTTCCAAACCAGGTTCTAATAATGTTTTCATCTTGGGTCTGGCTGCCATCTTGAAGGGGGTTCCCCAAGACACCTGGGAGTGAGTCAAGTTCTCTGCACCTCCCTTCTCTCATGTGTTTGCTGAGGACATTCGGAAGCTTCTTTAAAGCTCCACGAAAGCAGGGAGTTTGCTTTGTTCACTGCCTTGTTCTCAACACTAAAAAGTGCCCGGCACAGAAATCGTTCAGTAGGTATCTGTAGGATAAGTGAATTCTGTTCTTTGCCCAGCTGCAATGGGACAGACACCACCGGACAAAGGGAGAGACATCATTGGGGTCAAACATTTAGAAATGGTTGTCATTCCTAGTACGGGCCTGATATAGGGATTCAAATCCCAGCAATATTCCTAGAATTATTTTGAATTTTACCGAAGACAAATAAGCCTATAGAATGTTGTGCTGAACAGTAACTCTTAAATGTTCATAAAAATTTCTTTTTGATTAACTTGGAATTATAAGGCCCTGGAGTGCATCTTAGGACTGGTCTTTTTAGGCAAACACCACACTAATTAGTAATGATGAAAAAGAATGGCTATCGTAAGACTCAAATGAGCCCCAGTCATAAGGGGCTTATATATGTAGAGGAGAGAAAATATTTTGCATTCAAAATGCAACTGATATTTTTATTTTCAAGAATAAAATTATCATTGAAATTAAATCCAAATTGGTATAGTCAGTGAATTGACTTGCAAATGTCAATCACAAAAGAGAAAACCTCCTTCCTCCTTAATGGACATGGAATGGATGTAATTACCACTCCGTTTTAACCTTGGTTTAAATAACTATAAAGCAGAATGATTTTGCTAGTAATCATTGCAGTAAAGTTGCTGAATAGGTACAGAGCTGATTGATGCTTCTTTGAAGATCTTTAGTACCACAAACTTTTTTTTAAAATAAATTTTTACTGATTTCAGAGAGGAAGGGAGAGGGAGAGAGAGATAGAAACATCAATGATGACAATCATTGATTGGCTGCCTCCTGCACACCCCCTACTGGGAATCAAGCCTGAAACTGGGGCATATGCCCTGACCGGGAATCGAACCATGACCTCCCTGGTTCATAGGTTGATGCTTAACCACTGAACCACATGGCCAAGCATGACTAACTTTTCTTAATGAACAGCTGAGGCAGTTACTGAGTCAAGGGATCTCTCTGAGGGAATGTTACTTAAGAGGATAATAATGGGGGGGGGGGCGGTAATCCATGAAGAACAGCACTCCAGGCTAAGGAGGAGCTGGTTCAAAGGCCCTGAGCAAGAATGAGCCAGGTAGGTGTAGAAGAACCTCTTGGCAGTAATGGGAAGAGGTCAGAACATTTTGGTGTTACCTCTATTTCTCTTGCTGGCATTTAGGACAACAATCCAATGATAAAGGAAGCAGCCATGTACCCGATTTCAAGCACTCAAGGAAGCTTGAAATCTAAGCCTCTCCTGAGAATAAAATAGACATTCTCATTGCTAAGGCATTTATGAAAGAAATTTCTTCACTGGAAAACAGAAGCTAGCAGAGAAGTTGCAGGACAATTGGGAGGCAGCCAACCTTCCACTGATGCAAATTATAGGTATGATATAGTGCCAGGAAGCCCCAAACCTACTGTTTGCAGATGGTGCCAAGCGAATCCCACCCTGGTCCTCACAGCAGTTGACACTCTGTCTCGCAGCAGATCCTTTCTTCGAAGAGTGGTGTGGGGCAGAGGAGGGTAGCTCTACAAGGTGGAAAAAGTGAGAGGTTAAATAACAATGATGCTTTATTGTTATGTTTTGTTGGTTTCCTGGGGGTGGCGGTGAAATCAAGAGCTATCTGACCCTGCCCCCAGGAAGACACAGGCGCTAACAGGTACCAGCATCTCAGGAGGAGAAAAGCAACTTGGCCATTCATCCCATGGACATCTCCTTACTACACGACAGACCCTGTTTGGAGGTGCAGCGGGAGAGGCAGGCACATTCCCTTCCCTCACAGGCTCACCTTCTCACATGGAACAAACCAGCAGATAAACAAGAAGATTGTGGTAAATGTCACCTAGAGAAGTCAGTCAAATAAGACCAGGCTGATGTGACTGATTTAGAGCAAGCAGTCAAGGGGTCTCTCTGAGGGAACATTAAGAGGATAATTGGGGGGGGGGGTGTCCATGGAAGAACAGCACTCCAGGCTAAGGAGGAGCTGGTTCAAAGGCCCTGAGCAAGAATGAGCCAGGTAGGTGTAGAAGAATAGAAAGGCCATATGATCAAGGAGTAAAGAAAGGCACAGGGCAGAGGCCAGGCCACCCAGGGCTTTGCACAGAGGCAGAGGGACCCGCTGCATAAGGGCAAACAGGAGACTACCTGTATACAACCTGTCGCCTTTAAACCAAATGGTGGAAGGTTCCCTTTGAAATACATACAGCTGCTGTGGCAGTGGTTCTCAACCTTCCTAATGCCGCGACCCTTTAATACAGTTCCTCATGTTGTGGTCACCCCCAACCATAAAATTATTTTCGTTGCTACTTCATAACTGTAATTCTGCTACTGTTATGAATCGTAATGTAAATATCTGATATGCAGGATGTATTTTCATTGTTCGCGACCCACAGGTTGAGAACCGCTGGTTTAGTGGATTTTTAAAATAGACTTTATTTTTTAGAGCCATTTCAGATTCATAGCAACATTGAGCAGAAAGCACAAAGATTTCTCATAGTTCCCCTGCCCCCACACATGCATAGCCCCCTCCATTATCAACATCCCCCACAGAGTAGTATATTTGTTATAACTGAGGAACCTACACGGACACAGCATTATTACCCAGTATCACATAGTTTACTGTACATTAGGGCTCACTCTTGGTGTGTACTTTCTACAAGGTTTGGCAAATTTATAATGACATGTACCTATCATTATGGCATCATACAGAGCAGTTTCACTGTCCTAAAAATCCTACGTGCTCTTGTCTATTCATCGCTCCCTCTCCTCTTTTAATGAATTTTAAGTAACTAAAGTCTGGCTTGTGGGTGGAAGTAAACATATGCTGCCAAAGTTCAGGTCTACAGTTCCTAGAACCACAATATGAATATCCTAAGAGCACAGCCTGAGATCAACACACACACACACACACACACACACACACACACACACACACCTGACAGTTGATCTATGTATCTTTTAACCACCTTACAAATTTTGTTAAAATCCATGTTTAACAGTCCCAGGATAGATACCTATCTGCAACCAGAAACTGATTTTCTATTGAGATATCACTTTCACCAAAAATATTCAACTGCTGGCAGAGACTCAAGAATGAATGTGTCGCTCTTAGGAATATACCCATGGAAAACGAAAACAGTCGTCCACACAGAAACTTGTACGAAAATGTTCACTGCAGCATAATTCCTAATAGCCAAGGAGTGGAAACAATCCAAATGTGCACCAACTGATGAGTGGGTAAACAAAAGGTGGTGCATCTTATAAATGAAAACTATTTGGCAATAAAGAGGAATGAAGCGGCGACATGCTTCAGTGTAGGTGAACCCTGACAACATTATGCTAAATGAAAGAAGCCAGTTTCAAAAGACCACATTTAAGTGAAAGGTGCAGAATAGGTAAATCCACAGAGACAGAACGTAGATTAGTGGTTGCCAGGGGCTGTGGGTAGCGGGAAACAGGGAGTGAAAGCGAATGGGTTTCTTTTTTTGGGGGGGGGGGTGCATATGTTCTAAAACTAGTGGTGGGGATGGTTACACAACTCTGTAAAACCACCGAATTATCCTCTTTCAAAGGGTGGGTTTTATGGTATGTGATTATATCTCAATAAAACTGTTATAAAAATAAAAGACCAGAAGTGTACCTGAAATGCAGTGTGGAGATGAAATACACTTCTACGCCGAAACCGGTTTGGCTCAGTGGATAGAGCATCGGCCTGCGGACTGAAAGGTCCCAGGTTCGATTCCGGTCAAGGGCATGTACCTTGGTTGCGGGCACATCCCCAGTAGGAGATGTACAGGAGGCAGCAATCTCTTCCTCACCCCACCCCCGAATTTCCACATCCGTCTTTCTAAAATTCTACTCTCCTACTTTAAACCCTTCAGAGGTCCCCATAATCGAGACATTTCTACAGCACTGAGATTCTATTAGGGAAAAATAATGTATATTCAGTCAGGTAGTAAACGAACCAAAGGGGTCATGTGGCCCTTAATATTGAAGGTGCTTACAAATGCAGCCTCCAGGGACCCCAAACGGCACCTGTGCCTGCCTCCAGTGACTGCGGGAGTGGTAACACCCACCAAAGATCTCACTGGGTTTTGCTTTGTACCTGCCAACTTGAGCTGCTCTATCATAAGAATCGATTTAATTACCTATTTATGAAGTTGAGTTAAATTAGTTCAGAGCAGCGGTTTTCAAACGGTGTGCCGCACGAATTTTCAAAACATGCAATACCTGACTATTTAGTCAGGGGCACTGATCTCTTTTCCTTTGAATTGTCACATTAAAAAATGACAATAGTACAGTTCACCAGTGTTTAGTTTTATTTATTTATTTATTTATTTATTTATTTATTTATTTATTTTAGTATTTAGTTTTATATTGAGGTGCTCAGGTTGGAATAAAGTGGTATAAAAAGCAAAAAAAAAAAAGACAATACTTGTCTAGTATGAATGAGTCAAAATTATATCTATTTTTTTTTTGGTCAGATCAGCAAAAAACACAATATTTTTGGTGTGCCACAGAATGCCAGTAATGTGTGCCAGGAGAAGGAAAGCTTGAAAATCAAGTTTTAGAGAAATGCCTGCTCAAGTAAAAACTGGACTAACAAAGAGATTTCTCAAGGAGACACATCCCCAAGGGCCAAGGCTTTTCGGATACCTACACACCCGGCCATATACAGAAACAAGCCCAGAGCGTCAAACTGGGAGAAGCTGAAGTCAAAGTAGCTCATAAAACAGCAACATTTTGTTCCTTAGGTAGGAAGCACAAGCCAAATGAACAAGCAGATAGCAGGTCTTGGGCCATAACTTAAGTCTGTGGATGATTATAATTATTTATGACATGGTATTAATTACACTAATAATGTTGTCAGCTCACAGATTTTATTCAATTACATGGCTAAATGTGACTTTCATCCAGTCATATTCAAAATGTGTGCCCTTGCCTGGCTGCTGTGGCTCAATGGTTGAACGTTGACCCATGAACAAAGAGGTCGCTGGTTCGAGTCCCACTCAGGGCACATGTCCGGTTGCAGGCTCGATACCCAGTAGGGGGTGTGCAGGAGGCGGCTGATTAACGATTCTCTCTCATCATTGATGCTTCTATCTCTCTCTCCCTCTCCCTTCCTCTCTGAAATCAATAAACATATTAAAAAAATGTTTTTAAAGAAAAAAGGGGGTGTGTGGTAGAATGCAAATTTGTGCTTACTAGTCCAAAGATTCTTTTTGTATACATTCTAATGTTGTGTCATGTTTAAAAAGAATCCATTTTTTAAAGTGTCACAGACATTCATGATTTATATTAATTTTACGTATATGTACCATGCATAACTTCAGAAAAGAATAAAGTATATAATGCATGTCCATCCCTGCGTGTGTTGGGAGGAAGCAGGGGGAACAAGCTTTTCTTCACGTAGTTCTAATACGGTCCCTTCACGTCTGTACACAACAGACAGTGAGCAACAGCACAGACCAGGTAGACTCCCATTACACGATAGTAGTTCATTGTGCCCCTCAGTAAATTCCAAAGCCTACGTTTCTAGAGTCTCTTTGGGAAGAACCATGGCAATGGGGTACACATAAGCACCTCTAATGACAGGGAAACAGCTGCTCCAGACCCCCCCCCCCACCCCCGCCCCGTTTTGTCTATCTCCCTAGCCCTGCTTCCAATAGGCTGAGGAGCAGCAGTTCCAAATTGGTGGGACAAGTTCTCTAACGCCAGGAAGTGACAAAAATACGGCCACGTACCAAGTAAACCTGATGCGTTGAAAAGCAGATTTCCCCCACAAGGCTGTGTTTTAAGTCTAAAGGACTTGGG